ATGTCTTTCCTTTTTATGTAAGTGATATATGAGTTGAACCTTTGCTGATATGGTTTAAAACCGTTACGAAACATTGCTAGTCATGTTATTATTGACTGGTTGATGGAATCACAGCGCTTCTGCCTCTGCTCCAAAGGTTTGATGAGCATAAACAATTATATCATAATTCACAACTACTCTTTGACATCAAAAAGTAAACATCTATGTAATCATTTCTTTTATTAAGTTAATTTAAAAAATATTATAACTGCGAGTTTGCATAACGAGAGCAATTATTATCAATAACTTGAGTGTTGTGACCGTGTATAATGTATTGTTTGCATTCGTCAAGCGACATTAAGGAAGAAATCAGCTGTTACATGTAGTTGAAGTCTAGCGAGTCGTCTACAGCCTATTCAAAATACCAAATAATAATAATATTACAAGTACCGCCTTCCGTCCACGCTATTTTGACGATTGCGACGGAGAGGTAAGCGTTAAACTGCTTTGCGCATCTGATCACTGGTCATTATCTTTGAACCAATACGTCACCTGCTATTGATAAAGCATCGCAGACGAGACAATGCTTTAAATAGCACTATTGGTAACACTGTACCTTTTCAGAGGATTTTTTAATTTTTTTTTTGATAATGGCTCCAACTCAATTTACCTGTGGGGGTTGCCGCATAAAATATGCAACTAGCGAAAGTTTGAAATGCGCTGAATGTTTGAAGTTATGATATCGAATGCGCAAATGTAACGGTTTCTTGCTTTCAATGTACTATGAAGAAGACAGATAAAGCTCATTGAATCTGTTGTTAGTATAGAAGCAATCAGCCTAAGACCAGCAATAATAATACTCCAGTACGAATACTTTATTCTACGAGTATATCGGTTGGGGCCTCACCAAAGGATGACGAAACTGAACGCCTTGTGTTCGAAGTCTGGGTTGCGAAGGAAGCTGCAGCAATATATTGACCGCCTAAATCACTTCAATATGTTAACATTACAAAATCATAGAAGGATAAATGACTTGTGCACACTTCATAGAATAGCTAACGGATTATCTAATAGCCACCTTACTGAAGAAGCTTTTATTCATGGTCCCTACTCGATCTGTGCGTGTACAGCGATTGTTCTATGTACCTCCAGCAGGAAATAATGTATCTCAAAATGGTCCCTTGTGTAGAATGTGTAATTATTGCAATGATATTTGTTTAATTTGTGATTTATTTAATTGTAGTATACACGTTTTCAGAAAATATTTATTAACAATAATGCATACCAGTTAGTTCACTGTTTAATTCTTTATATTTAAGTAACTACGTTATTTATATGCTGTAGCTGTGTTTATTTTTATTATCTAATATGTAGTGTCACTTTATCATGAAAATGCTGTGTACAATAACTGTTATTGGGCACAGATATATCAAGATTTGAAAATAAGTTCTCAAAATGTAATTTTGCTATCTGATGTCTGTAATTGTACCTTACTTGTAAAAATAAAATAAAAATAAAAATGCTGCGGTATGGGTGTTTATATGTTTATTGTCATCATTAGCTCAATGCTGGGTTATAGGCCTTCCCTATGGATGGAATAGGGAGATTGGGCCGTCACCCACCACGTGGGCCCAGTGCGAACCAACGCCTTAATGTGCCTTCCGAAGCGAGGCGGAGCTGAGATATTCAGATATCGGGTCACCCATCCAATGACCGATCATTGCGAAAGTTGCTTAACTTTCACGATCGCAGGCCGAACGAACACGCTAACCTCCTGTGCCATCAAGCTCCAGACATCATTAGACAAATAATCAAAGTAGCATTTATGCCTGGTAATTTGATAAGACAGCTAGATATATGGATGTCTGCCTAAATAGAGAAGAGAGTTACGTAAATAGATGGCATAGCGGAATTGAAGAATTGTATTGTAACAGAAGCTAGTAAAATTACACTTGTTATTTTCAATCTAATGAAATTTTACTAGAAATAATTCCACGCGGTCCAGGAAGCAGTCGGTACTCGAACCCGCACCCTCCGCTATCTGGACGGATGCACTGACCAATTATATGCTTCCACGACCTTAATGGCCGTGTCGAATTTTTTAGTCTGCGAGACATCGCCATCTCTTCGCATTGTAGATAATCCACAATGTCAAACGTAATATCTTTAACATGTATTAAATATTTGACCTTTTAAATTTTAGCATTACTATCCAACGTCGAAATGCTGCCAGCCTATAGGGCACCATTTCTGACGGCGGCGCTGGGGGTGATATATTTTGTATTTTGTAAATTTTATATTATTTAGGTACTAAGTTATTTCTGATTTTTAGTTTTTAGACATTAAGTAGTTTTAAGCTTTTGTCATTTTAAATATTTCTATTAGTCTAAGAGCCAGTGATCCGCAGACTTACGGTATAGTAGCAAACTTCATATTAATGCTAGTTATACTAATTCATCTGCCGTAAATCAAATGGTGGTTCACTATTCCCATAGAGGGTTCCTTTAGGCGTGCCGAGAAGTCGAAAAGCATGAAAATCGACTTTCAAAAACGTGATCGCAGCATGTCTGCCGTTTTGATATCTTAAAATATATATTTTTTTATGTAGAAAAACTTAATGCTAGACACTTTTTCCGGTACCTACTATATTTTATATAATATCATAGTTTCCATAATTTCATAAAATTTGCGTTATTTTAGCAAAGCAAAAAATGACATAAAACATGTTATTTATATTATTATTATAAATATATATTTACAAAAACAGACCTATAGGTCGGTTCTGACATGCGGATAGACCAAACGATATTTTCTCAGTCGTGCTATTGCACTTGCATGATTTTGATTTTCTCACTCTTAATTACGCAGGGAAAGCAAAGAATTTGAAATTTGAAAAAATCAAAATTTGCAGCAAAGCTGCATTTTATGTATGTTTTTACATCATTATTATACATGTATATTTAAAAAACCAGACAGATAAGCCGGTTCTAAAATGCAGGCAGACTACATAATAATTTCGCAGTCATACTAATGGAGATACACGATATTGTCTTTCTCACCCTTACTGCCAAAGACAGCGAATCAGTATAGTATAATTTTGGAAACTATGATATTATATAAAATATAGTAGGAACCGGAAAAAGTGTCTGGCATTAAGTTTTTCTATATAAAAAAATATATATTTTAAGATATCAAAACGGCAGACATACTGCGATCACGTTTTTGAAAGTCAATTTTCATGCTTTTCGACTTCTCGGCACGCCTAAAGGAACCCTCTATGGGAATAGTGAACCACCATTTGATCTACGGCAGATGAATTATTATAACTAGCATTAATATGAAGTTTGCTACTATACCGTAAGTCTGCGGATCACTGGCTCTCAGTCTATATGTACAACATATAAATAAATTAAATAAATATTTGAGAGAAGAAATAGCAATTGTAGTTTATTTTATTGTTATTTTTATTTTACGTATATATATATATATAACTGCTAGATATTTAGAGCTTGGTCAGTGCATCCGCCCGGATGCGAGCTGTGGGTGCGAGTTCGAGTCTCGTCTGTTTCCCAGACCGCGTGAATTTCTAAGTTAAATGCTTAAAATAAAAATATAATTTATATTTTCACTGCTGATGGGGAGTCCTAGGAATCCACGGAGTAGGGGTTTGGAATGAGCTCGACAAAATGAGGATGGTTGGAGCGACATAATTTTCTGCCGCGTCAGCTCTCTTCGCATGTGGACTAGTACTTACATCAGTTGAGATGTGTAATTTATTGAAAAACACAAATGTGTTTTTAAACGTAAAAAAACGTAAATGCAAAAGTCTCTCTCTTAATTTTATCGTTTGATTTGTTCTACATTGGATCTGTGGAATAACTATTCATAACAATATTCGAAGCTCAGTAAATTAATCCAATACAGTCCAGTATTATTTATTTATTTTCAAAATGGTAGAAGCATTGTAATTTGTATCATTTTGAAATGCGAAAAGGATACTTCTGAAAGAATTTAAAAAAAGAGTTATGTCGAGTGCTTTATTACCGCATCTAAATGCTCAGTCAAATACAAAATCGGTATTGTAGGGAGGTAGCCTTTATCAGAGTTACGCACGCTCTTACAGGGCCTTCCCGGAAATTTAACTTCGTTAAGAATGAAATATGTCCCGTCGTTATTCCGAGGCTTGTTGCGCGAATACTTACATTTAGAGTTCTCCACCTCTAGTTTTCTCATCAGACCCAGCGGAAATAATTTCAACCGAGACTGAGTTATGACAAAACTCCGACGGACATTGCCGCATCCGTAATGAGAATGGAGTCGAGATATGTCCGTAATTTATTATCACATGCTCCCGTTCGGGCACACTGAACTACGGGATCGACTGTTTTTGCCGCAAATATTGCAAAATGGACGCTCCACTGTGGTAATGCGGGTGCAATAATCTCACTATACTAGACATGAAAAATGTTAACAGGGTGCTTTCGCTTTGGGGTGAGATAAGGTGAGGCGAGGTACACGAGGTGAAATACTAGGTGGGTGGTGCAAGGAAGTATTTAATTAAATCTAGCGCCGCTCAACGGGGCACTCGCTTTACATCACCACCGCTAATCACAGGTAGGCCGTCAACACGTTCGCCACTTTGAATACCTAAGTGCACCGAGCTGTTATATTGTTAGTGCTAGGAAATCATTTCTTTAGAGTTTATCTGAACAATTTTTAGCGCAGACGAAATTGGAAATTCACTCAAATACTTTGGCTTTTTAGGTTTCCTTACCCTAAGGGTTGAAAATGGAAATATTTTACTAGTCGCTGTCTCATCTCATGAGCTTTGAAAGGTATAGTAAAACTTTCACAAAATTATTGCTTTTACTACCAATATATTGTTGTGTCAAACATAATCACTATTTTTTCTATTTTATCTCAGCTGCGAAGTTTTTTTTTTTTATAGTATTCATAAACAAAGCAAAAAATATAAAAATACTGAGCAAGTAGAAAACTAAGAGCATCGAACATCCGCTGTCAATGTCACCAATGTCATTGAGTTAATTAGTCGTTCATTTATATTTTTAGATATTTTTCGTTGTGATAGACTTTAAAAAATGCAGGAAAATAATAGAGACACAAATAAAAAAGAAAGTGTTACTAGTACATATGCGGATATTTACCTTGTTGACGATTATTGCAATTACGAAGAACCTGGTAAAGTCAAAATGAAAAATGTTATAGGAATAGATAATACTGATTGGATTTCCCCCAGTGATTTACTTATTGGAATAGTTGAACTGAAGCCACCATTTACCTCTAAAATTACAAGAGGCAAAACACATGAAGGTATTTTAGGCATTGGAAATGACATATTAGAAAAAAATAGAGCAGCATTTGAAAAAAAATTAACAAAGTTAATTAACGACAACGATAGCGGCTGGATAGATATATTGGAAACCGAAAAAAAGTTGGTTGATACAAAAGTGCGAAAACTTTACGACGACATATTTGTTACAAAAAGCAAAATCATGAATAAAGAAATATCTGATTTTTATGAGCAATCTTTGCAAAAACTAGAAAATAATATAAGATCTCAAATAGAAGAATTACTTACGAGTGTCCATGCGGGTAGCGTAAGTGACTTAAATTTTCAAATCGAGCAAAAATTAAGCAAAGAGAGAAAAGTTTTGGAAGACACATTAAAAAAGAGATACTCGAATGAAGTCCACAAAATTGAGAGATATTACAAGCTTCTTTTAGGCAATGAACTGCAAAGGCATGAAAAAATTATAAATAATGCCTTACATGATAGAAATAATGCTTTGAATGCATTTTGTAAACAAATGGAAGCAGAAAATCTTACCAGCACAATGTATGTTATGTGTACTGAAAGAAAGAAATGTAAAATAAAGCAATTTCTTTTAGAAAATTATCAAACCACAGACATATCGGAAAAAGTGCAAAAGATTAAAGAAAAAGATATTATATTAGAGAAATTACAAGATAGAGATGTGAAAATCAATCTTATAAACGAAGCTTGGGAAAACAAAATAAAAAAAGTGTTACAACTATTTTTAAAGTTTATAAGTTTTAGTTTAAAGTTATTACCAGAACAGACTACATTTCTACTTGATCTCGAGAAAATGGTAGTTTTGCAGATGAACGAATTTCAAAAGAAGCCTCAAAACTTAACCTCCATATTGGTAGACAAATGTGACATCAACAATTTATTCCAGTTTGAAGAACCGAAACCTAAAACAGAATTTTGTGTTAGCGAATCCTTTGTAATAGTGGGAGATTTAAATAATCCAACACCACCAAAATATGGAAGTAGCGAAACTTTAGCTAGCGATGTTGATTTACCGTATTTTAGGATACAAAGGCAATTTGTCTACGCAAAATGTCATAAATACGAGGAGATAAAAGCTGTTTTGGATTCTCAAATTTGTAAGTGTCAAGAAATTAATACTTTATCTCAATTTAAAGATGAAAATTTAAATGTGCCTCTACCTTGCGTACTGCACAGCACGCCACCTGAATGCATTAGTAGTTTATCTTCAAACGAACCTTTGTTGATTGATGACATTCAGCGACTTCATGATTGTCCAGCAAGGAGATGTCAAGATTGGGCAAAAAAATGCTCTTTTCCAGATCTTTATGCCTATTTAGATTTCAGTGACGAAAACTACGAAAGAGTAAAAACTATCCTTGGTGTATTAAAACCAACAGAAGCCCCACCCAAACTTATAGATCCAGTTCAGTTGGTGAATGAAGAATTACTGTTTTCTGTAACAAAAGAACGTTATCATACAGTGGAAACCCAATATTCTAGTCAGGAAGATTTAAATAAAGTTGAAGTTTCGTGTACATGTGTAACTGGACGTCGACAAAAAGCTACAGCATCGGGACATAAAATAAAAGAAACGTCAAGTGTAGACTTGCGAGAAATACTTCAAAGACGTAAACAGTCACTACGAAATTTATTGCAGAAAAATCCAAATCTTCTCAAAATATTCACAGATGAATGTTTTGATTTTGTGCTTTAATTACATATTTCATTTGTAATTAATTTCCAAATCTAGCATAAACTTATTTTTATAACTTTTACGACCTTTAATAAATTATTTTTATATTTTTATTTTTGTTTGTAATTTTGATATTTTATAATAATATTGTCATCGTATTTTTTTTATTTGAAGACTGTGTTGATAGCTTCATGAGTATTCGTCCTTTTTATCTAAAATCTTATAAATTATTGTGTATTATAAAAATACAGTAACTCTTGGTGATAATGTACGTAATATTTTATGTATAATTCAATACGAATTGAAATACCCATCAAAATGTAATGAAAAGATTTATTTGCTATAAATAGGGCAGATAAGTTACATCAGATAAACTTAAACAGTGTGACACAGCGATTCCAAGATGAGACGTAAAGTGTTTAATAATTGATTTAAATTTTCTGTTCAGCTTTAAATTTATTATCTAATATAGTGTTCCACATGCGAGTGTAACGTGGCATCTATTTCCACAGGTGTATGTATATGAACAACCCTGTTCCCGAGATCGCAAATGTTCGTACTCCTTCGTGGTTACCGCCATACTCTATTAAGTCTATTCATTTGTTCTAGTTTGTTGCACACACGTCGCACATGTCGCACTAGTACCGTAGGTAAACAGACTATGAAGCAAAATGATCACTTACCGTGAACAAAGTATTTTGATTATCACCAACAAAACTATATTTTAATACAATATTAATTAATATGCAACAAAAAAATCTAATATTATGTGTTTTATATTCATATCCATTTATTGCATCTTGTTGTATACATAAAATTTGATACATAAAAATAATCTGTACTAGACAATAGATAAACATAAACGTTACTACGAACCTGCAATTTTGAAAAATCCCCTTCAACAATACATAATTCGATTATACTGCTTATATAAGTATAGGATAGTTTGATCTTATATATCCCAAATATACCACAAGCAAACTCCCCACAAAAAAACTATTTATACAATTGTATTTTTGTTGTCTTCCCTGTAACTCATTCACAGCAAAAAGCAATTAAAATCTTCATGTTGTTTTCGCGTTTACTGCACAATAATATAAATTACACCGTTAGCCAAGAATAATGTTGGGATGGGTGAGGGTAACGCGTTGAGGTGAATTTACACAGTCCCGTAACAAGTTAACTTATTACGTCGTCACCGTCTCCTTGTCGCGTTAGTAGACGACTTATGACATTCCTGCACCGACTCCCGTGTTAATCGACGAGCATTTATTGTTACCTCTTATTTAATTACTCGTCTACCGCTCCTTGAATGTCATATGAACTGAAGTGAATGTCATTACTTCTCGTGTAATGTTTATAATATAGAAGGAATTATATACTTTTGATACAAACTCTAAACTAGGAAGGTATTTTTACCTTCTCTGATGACTGTCTGCGTTGCTTGAAACATTGTTGATAAAATACTAATAAAAAAATAACTATGTATTTTTTATTTGACGTGAAATTAATTATAGTCAAATGTATTATGTTTCTTTAAACAACGCAGGCTGACTATAGTTGATATTACGTCAAATACATAGTCAATGTATCAATTTATGACATATGGTTCTAGTTCAAACAACTGAACCATAAAATTTTACTATAATTCATTATAACTTTGATATAAAATTCACATGTCCAGTGAGTTTGGATTCGTGGATGCTAATCACTGCAGTTGCAACCAGAACAGTATTAACTTCCACGGTCATAGATCGATTACGTTAAACACTGTGCCATCGGGCTCCTTGACACAATATTACACCAATCCATATTATCTATCAAAAAGCAAGATCTTCGTCACAATTATTATTAAAAGGGATCCGAAATCCAATGGGAGCGCCCGTCTGGGGGAGAGGGAGAAAGAAACTCCTCCTTAAAGATGATCACAGTAAAATCCTAGACCTTTATTCTGTAGGTGAGTAAGGGGCCAGGACTCTTTTGGTATCGCAAGCGTCTAAAGGCTTTTTTGCCGATTTGTTGCCATAAAAACGAGTATCTTTAATATTGTTATCGATACGTTATGTCCATCCAAAAAAATCAAAAGCATATCCATTAAATTTCCATACCATATTTTATAGTTGGCTTTTATACTTTTTGTCTAGTAATAATAATAATAATTTATTAATAAATGATTTGGTTTACAATAGTTAGTGGCAGGAGTCCCCTTTTAAGCAAATCAATGCTTGTGCCAGGCGACTCCGCTCCTCCATTACACATCCATTTTTTATGTAAATTTCACAAACTTAAACAATATATTTTTTTTTATTCTATTTAGAACTTAGATATAAGTTTGCCTATGCATGAATACGTGTATGTATGTATGTTTGAGCTTGAGCATATGTGTGTATTTAATAAGTCTTTGTGAGCGCATGATTGTTTTTGTGTGAACTTGAGTGTTATAATTTAATAAAGGAAATATGTTTTAATTGTCTGTGTTATTTTATCTGTTGCAAAAATAATTCTACTTTTTCATAATTCAGGGATTCTAACCAAGTATGTATTAACTTTTTACATTCATTATATGGGAGGGGGTAGACGTCAATTATTTTGTTGATACTATTGTAAATATGAGATGAAAGACTATTGTGTTGTCTACTTGCAAATTTTGTTTTTGTTTGGGGAACTTTGGCTACGTTATGTTTTCTTCTGAACTCCCTACCACCGGCTACAAATGGCAAATTTCTATGTTTTTTTAATATAATGTGTTTTAAAAATAATTTCCTTACTGAGAGTAACCCGCAATCGACGTAAAGTTGATCAGTAGGGTTATCCTTCACGTTTAAAACACATTACTTTTATCAGTGCAGGTTGTGAGCGCTCAACCTCAATAAACCTTGTTTTCGCTGCTCCGCCCCACACAGAAATACAGTATACCAAGAGAGACTGAACCAATGCAACGTAAATTCTACTCAAAAGGTTCTTTGAAGTATTTTTGTCCATTATATCAAATTTGAAACTGCCCGGTACCACATATCTTAGTGTGCGGAATACCCATATCAATTTTCTCACTCTTCCAGCCAATTGCTCAAGATGAGGATACCAAGCAAGCTTCTGATCGATAACAACACCTAGATACTTATAATTAGTAACCTTTGTGATCATTGGACAACTGCAGTTTATGTCTGTTGGGTCACTGCAGTCATGGACCTTGAGGCAGAAACAGTTTGATAAACAGAGGCAAAAACAACAAACAAACAAAATACTAAAACATATATATTTAGTTTTAGATGTATTGAGTGAGAGTAAGTTGTATTTCAGCCAAGTGGATACACGAGCCATACCTATTTCAGCACTGTATTTTTTACATCTCCCCAAGAGGTTCCAGAGAAGACGATTGCTGTATCATCCGCGTATGAGAAAATTTTAGCATTCTTGATCCCTAAGTTACACAAGTCCTTAATGTATATTAAAAATATAGTAGGGCCCAATACGCTTCCTTGAGGAACTCCGTACGTCACTTCAGCATCCCCACTCACGCACTGTCGCAATTTAACCCTTTGTTTCCTGTCTGATAAATAGTTTTGTAGAAGTTTTAGTGGGTTGCCCCGTATTCCGATATTTTGCAACTTTTTGATAAGGATGGGAACAGATACGGTGTCAAACGCTTTTTTTATATCAAGAAACACTGTCAAACATTTATTCTTTTTTATCCATTTTCTCTGTTACAAAAGAGCTAAGGGAAGTTACAGCATCTTCTGTGGATAGACCCAGCCTAAATCCAAATTGGGAGGGAGACAATATATTATATTTATTTAAAAACTTGAGTAGCCGAGTTATTGTTGTGGTATGGTTTATTAGTTTTTCCAATATTTTTGATATACTTGGCAGTATAGATATGGGCCTGTAGTTATTGACGTCCTCCCTGTCCCCATCCTTATATATCGGAGTAATAACAGATTGTTTCAACAAAGCAGGGAAGATTACCTTATCGAAACAAAGATTAGCAAGACGTGTCACAATGGGAACGACATCATTTCTTACAAATTTTAAATAATTAGTTGGGATATCATCCCAGCCGGGTGCACTGTTAGATCTAAGATTCATTAGGACGCTACCTACTTCATTACAGTCAGTGCCAAGGAGTACAAAAAAATTAACATATGTAGGTATAGAATCATTTATATTGTCAGCCTCATGCTCTGGAACTGGGGGAATCTTTTGCTTACCAATATTCGCAAAACCTCGTTGACATAATTTGCCGATTCAGTGGGTGAAACTTTAATATTAAGTAATTCCGTGTTCTTAGATTTAGTTTGCTTAGAGTATGTAATTTTTTTTATATTAGACCAGAGTAATTTATTATCTGATACCGATTTGCACAGAAGTTCCCTTTCATATTTTGTTTTCAACGTTTTTATCAAATTATTACAATAATTTCTATATCTAATGTAAGTAATTTTTAATATATTATTATGTGGATCTTTTTTTTATTTATTTCTATTATTTATACATCTAAGAATGCCGGAGGTAATCCAAGGTTTTATGATTCGTTTGCTTTTTGGAATTTTGACAACGAGAGTATTATTCTTAATAGACTCAGCAAGTTTTTTAATTAAACAATCAGTTAATGCATTTGGATCATCACAGTATTGTAAGTCACTTAAATTTTTCTGCAAGTAGTTTCGAGCTTTTTCATAGTCTATTTTAGTTTTAGTCTTATTAGTTATATAATTGTGTTTAATTTTTGACAAACATAGAAATGTGGTAAAATGGTCTGTTGTAGTAGTATGCAGTATTGCAATGGTTGCTGTAACTTTTTTTCTATTTATTTTTATCATAAAGTGATCCAAACATGCCTGTTCTCTAGTAGGTAACGTGTGCCCAGGGAGTATACCAAATTCAGAAAGCATATTTAAATAATTTACCCTATTTCTATGTTCGTATGAAAGGTCTACATTTCTTGTTCTAAGATTAATGTTTATGTCTCCAGCTATTATAACGTTCCTATCCTTAGTAATAGCCTCAAGATGTGAGCTTAGAGAATTCAAAAAGCTTTCTGTGTTTTTGTTTGATGGAGAGCGATAGATGCACAAAATTATATTGTTTAGTAATTCTATTTGTACACAAGAAGCTTCTGCTAGATTTATTTCCTTTACTTTAGTTTTTAAAGAAGATTTAATGTAAACTGTAACCCCATCGTTTTGATTAATCTGTTTACTGGTACTAAAGGAATTATAGTTTTCTAGTTGCGGAATAGGTTTATTGCTATCAAGTCTGCATTCTGTAAATATTAATACGTCCAAGTCAAACTTAAGGTTTGATAAAGTTATTAAAAAGTCGTCGAAGTTACAATAGATGCTTCTTATATTTTGCGAGATAATAGTAAGATCATTTTGTTTCACTTGTATTCGATTTTTAAGATCTACAGTATTACATTCAAAGGTTCGGGCTATGTCAAACTTGTCTATTTCTTCTATAGTTTGTAAAATCTCACCCATTTATAAAATAAATATACGCATGAATTTCTTTAGACTTAAACATGTTTATATATGATAGAGAAACTTTGTGATGATATGTGAGAAGCATATATAGAATCTTTTTCATGTTTTTCCTATCACTGTTAATTACGTTATTTTTTGTATTTATGATAAAAACTGTGTGTGTTGTTTGTTGTGTAGAAGTAAATATGTCGATATGTAAGTGTAAATATAAAAAGCAAGCACATAAATCCATAAAAGCACAAACAGAGGGCACAAAAAGGGGTTTCATCAAAAGCAAGCATCGATACATCAAAATAAAATAGATAAAAGCGATCATAAAAAACATAACAGTCAACCTGCACGAGCATGGATACAAGCAAATTGATTCACAAGCAAATAGTCATTTTGTTAAAAGCAGTTGATGTACCTGTTCTTCACTTCTAATGATGCCTATCTGCGAGTGTTCATCCTTTCTTACATACACTTTTCCGTAAGAAGTCCAGCAAAACTTATAACACATAAATTATTTTTGTTTTTTATATTAAAGGCCTTACTCATTTTTAAGAATTCATTTTTTAGAAGTGTAGATCCCGTTTCCACAATAATTGGAGTATTTTGTTTTTCAATTTTTTTTTCCACGTAGTCTATAAATATCTTTTATATCCAATTTTTCAACTTTACAGCCTATATTATGCGATAATTTCAAAACCATTTCTACTAAATCCTCTTTCGTTTCCTCTTTTTTCTTTGGTACATTTTTTATTTCTATATTATTTTTCCGATATCCCTGCTGCATATCCTCAATTTTGTCTTCCAAAATAAAAATATACTTCCTATCTTCCCTGTGTTGATTCTCCAATTGGTCTATTTGCTTTTTAAATTCTTAATTTTGTGCCGTTAAAAATGCTACCGAGCTGTCTATGTTGTTGTTCGTAAGCTGAATCTCTTTGAGAGTCGAGTTTACTTTCCGAAATTTATTTTCTTGTTTCGTTGTGATAAGCGTTATCATTTTTTTCATTTCTTCTTTGATATCAGCCAATTGATTAGTGATAGAATCATCCATATCTTCTCTCGACCTTTTGTTGCGTGTTAGAGTAAAGTTGGGTGGAGTCCTCTTAACAGTGCTTAGCATATTAATTTCCGTGTCAGATACAGACTTATCCATCACTGAATCCATCCTTTAAAAAAAAAAAGGCAACACCACTAGTTCCAACTTCCGAACAAAGTTATACACCCTTTTCACCTGCGCGGTAAAACCTACTGATACTGCTTATGCACTGTGGCAGGCGACCGTGTACTGCACGGTGTACTGCATATGCACTATGGCAGGCAACTATCTTTGATAAGTATACGATGGCGGTGACGTACGCGCAGCGCAACACGCAAACTGATGTTGTTGCAGTTCCACTATCTCTTTCGTTCCACTGATCAACTTGCCTCTGTATTATGCGCGATTTTTTTTTTTCATAACGCAGGTCAAAAATCTTTTTACAGACGACGGCGCCTTTAAGAGGCACACCGCCGAACGGACCTCACACCTGGCTCCCGCAATTCTTACGGGCGCTTTACAGCATAATATCCGCTAAAAAAGTCCTGCGAATACCTCTACACTGCTTAGTGCGGAGCCGCAGGGTCCCCGTTAGGGATTCTACCACGGTTCCGCCCCCAGCAGCTTCCCGGCCTTGCCGGGGCTCCACGGCAGGGGTCTCCCGCGGTATTACGGGGACCCCGCAGATGTGCGCAGGTAGGCCCACGCGTGGGGGCTGGGTACGTGGCCTACTGCCCACCGTACCTCCCCCCATCCGCTGCGGAAGGGCTTCTTGGGCGTACCCGTCCAAGAACCCTCCACCGCCCCCCCTTTGTAGGACAAAACTACAAGTGGGGGGCTGCCGTTCCTGGGAGAGGGGAACGGGAGGGGAAGCGTAGTTCTTCCCGTCCCTCTCCCCCCTCCCGGTCGCCCGCGTCTCCTCGCGTCTTCTCCTAGGAGAAGAGGGGGAAGCGCGGGCGACAGCATTCGTGGGGGGTCCGAGCGGCCGAGGCTACTCGGACATCCCCCCCTCTGAGGGCGTCTGTACGGGCGCCGACGCCTCAGAGGGCCCTTTCTCGGG